CCAGGATACTCTCTGTAAAAACCTGAGGATACCGGAAGGAGCATGAATGATTTACAGATGGATCTTCCTGCTGAGTTCGACTCAATGATTGGTCTATAAATAGTGAAAGGTCGAGATGTTTCTAACTACTTTAAAACGCTTTGCCAGTCCAGCCTCCCACACCTTCAGTTCCATGTCCTGTAAGACAAACGAACGCTCATAAGTCTGAACCTTTATAACATCAGAACTGTTCTGTTTTATGGAAACTGGACCTCAGCGCTAACACGTGTCTCTACGTGGAGGTGTTCATCACCCTGGAGGTGTTCATCACCCTGGAGGTGTTCATCACCCTGGAGGATGCAGATGAACTATTTTCTAGCAAACAGGGAATAAACGACATCTACATTTTCTCTTATTTACTTAAATATCCAACAAAGATGGCGTCCCTTCAGCACACGTGTCTGGGCTGAGCACAAAGCAGAATCCTAGGAGGGGAATCAGGTCCAGAAGGCCAAACCTGTGGCCTGTCCGGACACATACAACACAAGGATCAGAGAGTCCCTGAGCACACACTCTGCTTGACCACGGGTCAGGATTCTTGAACGAGGACCAAAGGAGGCCGACTACCTGACAGGAGCAGCGTTTGGTGACAGAGCTCCTCCCAAAACTATCAAACATGGACGACAAAGGCGCCGGTTCCACGAACTACGTCAGCAAACGTCTGGCCCTCTGTGCTGGTGGAGCTACGGCACCAGTCAGTCGGTGAGAACAGCTTCCGTGGACTCGCACAAGCTCTGATATTTTACAGCAATATGACAACCTGACCTGTCGAAGTCTAATCACGTAAACATGATCGTCGCTGCGCCGCGCTCCCGGTGAATCAGGTTAAACAGCGTGGCACCGAAAACCTGTCACATCCACGGGGGCAGGCAATTTCCTGCAGGAGGAGATTAACCTTAAATTACACCGAGGGACAGAGGAAGGAAGTGAGGAAGAAAAACACAGCGCTCGCATCCCGAGTGAAATTACTCTCAACAGAGGTGAAAAAGAAAAACACGGATAAAGGCTGCTGCAGCTCCGGAGAGGAAATATCACAGGAGGTTCGGAGGTTAATAAATACACACAGAGGAGACGTTTATGTCGGCATTTGTTACGCTGTTTTGACAATTACCATCATTTTTTTCCCCCCAACACTTGATATTAACACCAGAAGTGTACAATTAAATACAAGCAGTAGATGGAAGGAGAACATCTGCAAAATAAACATAAAAGGCATCAAACGATGGTCACGGAGATGATGAATAAAAACTGTGTGTGATGCAGGTTTGCATAAGAAGTGAAGGCGACAGGTGGCTGCCGGCTGTGGGGACACGTACAACTCTCAGGTGGGATGGACGGTACGCTCCCGTCACTTAGCACCAGCGTTGATTCTTTACATTATCTGACTGGACTGTAATCAAAATGTCTGCTCTGTTTGGGCCAATCACACGCTCTGCCGCCCGTCAGCACGCCGGGCCGTGGTGGGGATATCTGCTACAGCTCGTGTGATGAACACAGAACCATGTGAGGATTAATGCAGGAAGCATTTTGGATTCAGCACCACAGATGTAGAGAAAAAAGCCTGACTGGAGGTCACGGTTAGCGTGTTAGCGTGTTAGCGTGTTAGCGTGTCACTGAAGGCGGCAGAGACGTGACCAACGGACGGAGTGACTGAAGGTCAGCTCCAACAAACTGGTTCTGTTGATTCTTCTGACAAAGCTGGTCGACACTCGTAGAAAATATTACGGCTCTCAGAAATTCACATTATGGCCGGTTTGAGTCACGACCAGGAAGCTGGTTCTGTTCCCTCTCGGCCGCTCGTGGAGCAGATCTGAGCTCAGGACGGCGGAGGTCATCAGTCCGGTTCAGGCAGGAAGCAGAATCAATCAGAACCCATCATGTGGACTTGTGTGCGTGTCGGAGTTGTAAGTGCCACCCACTTTAGTTTTTTCTTCTCAGTTTACTTTATTCATGGAAAACAACAACAACAACAAAAAAAAACGTCCACATAAAACATAAAGTAAAACACAAGTGAGAGAAAAAACAAAAAGTTGGTGATATGGAAAAACACAAAATAAATCTGATGATAACCAAAGTTACACATTCACATCCACTACAAGTAAGCATGAAACTGAGCAGTTTAAATAGTTAGTGCACGACATAAAGGTCCTAAAAGGTTCTCCCTCCGTTGTTTGTGTTTCTGTCGACTGTCTGTCTGTCCAGCATGTGTCGACACAAACATTTATACTCTGTTAGATATATATATGTATGTATATGTGTGTGTTTTCCTCTCCTTCATTGTTCGTACTCTGTATGTTTCCTTCATTAAGACCTGAGAGAAAGGCCAAAACCAGGGTTGAGGTAGGTAACCATAATGCATCAAAGCAGTTCCTGTCCAGTAGGTGACGCCGCCGAGCGGAGCGCCGGCGCCAGAGGCCCCTGTGATTGTTGAGCCGCCCAACAACCGTCAATCCCCCTCAGCCGGCGCTCCGTCGGCGCCCGTCAGCATCCAGAGATACTGTAAGTACGGCGTTCCTGAAGCACCTGAACTAGCCAGCGGTGACGGGAGGGAGAAGGCTGAGCAGCAGCGGCGGTTTTGGGAAGAGTAACACGAGCATCATGACCAGAACCGTCACATGGACTGGGCACCCCGAGTGTAAAAGGCTACTGCTTCACTAAAGAGAGGAGTCGGGTACAGTGATGTGAACACAAAACGACGAGAAGCTCTGCAGCAACAAATACTAGAAAACGTTTAGAGATACACTGCCCTCAGTTCTGAAGAAAAAGGAATAATTCAGTATTTTGGGGAACAGCTTATTTGCTTTTCCCCCAGAGACTCGTACCGTTCTCATGTTAAAGGAATAGTTCAACATTTTGGGAAACGTTAGAGCAGCATTGTTAGAGTCAGTGTGAAGGGACTCCAGAGACTCCTGAACACAGTAGACGTGTTAGAAACTAAACTACATTCAAAGTGGAGCTGATGAGCATCAGTGGGAGGTGAAAAAAGTACAGATCAGCTTCCTGTTTAAAGCATGATGACACGACGTATCCTGGTTAGTTTAACAGGGATTCATAATTTAGTGTATAAACAGGTTAATTATGCGAACACTTTTAGCCTTAATAAAATTTAAACTGATGACTTATATGAAAATTCAGCTCCACACAGTTATAACGGGGACATTAGCTACAGTTCAGCTTTCTAACATCGGGGTCTATTGGGTTTCACTAAGTTTGGACGCAGCCTCAAGTGGCCATTTGAAGAACTTTGCTATGATCCAGTTCTAGTGAGTGGGACCGGTGTCGTCACAGCCGTACAACGTGTGCATAGTTTATCAGAGTAGGTAACGTAGTCCAGGCCGTGGCTTCATGTTCACAGCACAGATACGAGAGGACGACCAATCAGAATCTCCCCCAAACTGTCAAACAGGAAATGAGGGGGTAGCGATTTTAAAATGTCTCGTATGTTGAATCTATTAAAGACAGCCAGAGGCTAATTACCCTCCAGCTATTAGTTCACATCAGCATTTCCCACAATGCCAAACTTTTCCTTTCATCACATCCAGAACAGCAGAATCATGTTTTGGGACATTTTGTTAAATTTGTGCTTCGTTTTCTTTTGCCACACATGTCACATGTGTATGAAAACATTCATTCAATCAATAAAATACACACAAAAACACACACGATTCCATTTTAAATACGTCTATGGTGTCCGCATATTATAGGGTTTTAGCTTCTGGTCCAATTGAACGTTAAATATCTCGTCTCAGTCTGAACTAAAGAGTCCTAAAGCTATCATTAGCGATGCAGTGTATCTCTAACAGGCTTCTCATTCAACCGAAGCAACTACATGTGGAAAGAAAAAAAAGAACAAAATGATCTTTTAAATGAAATAAACTCTAGGGGGGGAAGCTTACACTGGAACATCATCATTTCACACATTTTCCCAACATCCTGTAAATCAGACAACATGGTTATCAGTCTGTCAGCTTGCATGAGGTACTGACGGAGTATCTACAAACACCACATCCATCGACAGAGGGAAGCCAGGACTTCACAAAGGGGAGGGAAGAGGGTTTCTCATTATGCAATAAACAGACAAACAACAACAACAACAGCGACAACATTAACATTGTTATCTTGAGGTAGAACATTAATTTCAGCATTTGGAAGTGCTTTATGTTGGATACTCATTTTTTTTCTTCTTTTCTTTCGTTTTACTTCGACAAGCAGGAGAAGAGAGACGATTCTTGACATCTGAGGTAGAGCGGCACCTGATCTTGTAAATTTTCAAACCAATCAGTTCCTCCGCGTGTAAAGTAACTGTGAGCACAGGGGAAGGTAAAGTCCCGAAAGCTTCCCGTGACACATTCATTCCGGCTGAGGTAGGTTTTTGTTAAATCGTAAGGTTCACACAGCCAAGTCTACGCCTGTATGAAGGCCGAGAACTCATAAAAAATGTTGAGAGCACTGAAACAAAGTCCTGAGACAGAATATATCGAATCCCTGGAAGAAGGCTGACGTCTTCTGTGAGCGAGAAGGTGGAATCATTGGTAGGTGAGAGCAGGCAGCAGGAGTCTTTGACATCCACAGAAAAGTAGAGATAAGACCAATAACTTAGAACCGCTTTGACATATAGGTGATAAAGATATATATGTATATATAGATTTATAAACTTAAAAATAAAGTCATTGTATAACAAGGACATTCTGGGGCCTCTATTCTCTGTGCTGCCCAACACCAGAAAATTAACAGAAGACCGAAAAACATTTAAGTGGCCCGTCTGGCTCGACACCGCCGGGACCAAAAAAAACCCAAAACACTCTAATATCCAGTCCTAGATCCTCCAGAACTTATTAACTTACTAATAAAAAAAAAATCTTTGCACAAAAGGAAAACCTACTTTGAAAAGAAACACTTGTAAACCTGAGTGAGAGAGAGTCTAAGTGGACGCTGAGCGCGTCATCGGCCTTCCTACGTCATCAGCCTTGGTCCTGACCAGCTGCTCCTCCTGCAGGAGGCTCCTGGAACTGCGTCTCTCGCTCCACCGCAAACTCGTCCAGCGGTATCGTCGACAGCTGGGTGTCGTTCAGCACGTAGGAGTCGGACTGAAAACACAAGCAGACAACAGTCAGACACCCAACAGTCCTGCATGGACGACACGGCGGGATGGCGTAGCAGGAGTCTCAACCCGCCGGACCATAGTGTGGCCCTCTGGTTCACATCAAAGGTTAGTGATAATGCAGTCTGCCTGTTTTTCTCACACAGTTGCTGCTCTGGCGTTTAATAGTTTTTATCACTGTGGGCTGCCGTAGCTCAGGCTCAGGACAGCAACACGAATTAGCAACGCTGGTCACTGGAAACGTGATTCAGGAGCATCACCGAGTGGAGGGAACACACATCCTACCACCCAGAACGGTTTGTTTGTTTTATTCTGTCTGTGTGAGAAGCTCTTCTCCACCATCAACTTTAATGAGTCAAAGCACAGGTCCAGACCTACTGATGAGCATCTTCACGCCACACTGAGGGTCTCAAACGCTTCCTCCCTCCAGCCAGATGTGGCTCAGCTGGAGGAGGAAGGTCTCTGGCAGCACGGAGGAGGCAGGAGGAGCCTGTGTTCTGAAGAACTGTTCATGTTCTGAATTGTTATTAAATCAGACTGAGAAGACTGGACCAGTTGTTCTTTTGTTGTGGAATAAGTGATGCGGCCCAGTCTGACCCAGACTCCACCTCCAGCAGCCCCCAGGTGAGCTGAGTCTGTGCAGCTAAAGCCCTCGGCCCGACATCTGCAGCCACACGGTGAGCTTCACAACCTCATGTCTCATTTCTTTTGACAATTTAATTACAGTTCAGACTTTAGATGAGTCCAGATCTACAACATGCTCCATAAAAACAGCATTCAGACCTCATCCTGCCTTCTAGACATCAGCGGCATTGTTTTCTGTTTAGTCTGCACTCTGTTAGCGGCTGGCTTTAAGACACTGCTGAGTTAGTTACAGGTGAACTGCACACATCGATGTCTCTTCATCCATCCATCCATCATCTCTCCACCTTAATCCTCACCAGGGTCATGGGGGGCTGGAGTCTATCCCAGCTGACTCAGGGTGAAGGCAGGTTCACCTGGACAGGTAACCAGTCTATCACAGGGCTACACTTAGAGACAGACAACCAAGCACACTCACATTCACACCTACGGACAATTTACAATCACCAATTAACCTCAGCATGTTTCTGGACTGTGGGAGGAAGCCGGAGAACCCGGAGAGAACCCACGCTGCACGGGGAGAACATGGAGACTCCACGCAGGAAGATCCCGGGTGTCCTCACCGGGACGCCAACCGGCGACCTTCTAGCTGTGAGGCGCTAACGATGCTAACCACTGATCCACCTGCAGCCCATTCTTCAGATATAATAATAATAATAATAATAATAATAATAATAATAATAATAATAATAATAATAATAATAATAATAATAACAATAATAATAATAATAATACATTTTATTTATGGGGCCCTATTCAACAGTCGAGGACGCCGTACAGAGTGACAAAGTTAAAGCACAGATATCAGGACGTGATGAAGAAGTGCTGTGACTGATGTACTGAGCGCGGTCATGTATGATCAGGATCTGTCACCATGTCACATGAAATCAGACGGTCAACAGCGAGATCCGTCTCACAAAGCTCTCTGCAACCACAGGCAGGTCCTGGACCTCAAACTGCATCAGAGAGCAAACATCACATCGTGTGTCAGTCAGCATCCCGGGATGAGCCAGCCTTCATGTCCAGGATCGTCTCTGGTGATGAGTGGAGGATGTGTGGTTCTGACCCAGAGACCACTGGACGGTTTCCACAGCAGAAGAGGCTGCAGTGTCCGAGACCGGAGGAGGTGTGTCAGGTCAGAGGCACACCAAGAGCACGGCCTTGTTTTCTTGCCATTTGTGGGGTTGTGCATCTTGATTCCTGCTCCAGGGTCTGACTGTCAGCGTGGAGCGTCTGGAGGCGTCTGAGGGGAACAACCTGAACTACAGCATGATGGCATGTGGTACCGAGCAGTGACAACACAGCAGCACAGTCCTCACTCCCTGTCCTCCCTCTCTCCAGATATCTTTCTCTTCCCCAACATGGAATTCAAGTTGAAGGCTTTTGACACAGTTCAGCGTATCTGCTGCCAGCTGCAGATGGTGCTCCACATATTTACATCATGTGACTTCCAGGGAGGGCTGCGAGCCTGGAAGCAGCGCTGACAACTGTGAGGAGGCCGAATGTAGATCAGGCAGAGTTTTGGATCTTTTATTGTTGCAGCCTCAGAACCTTCTGATCACAACGGGGCTACGGATACCAGTGATGGGACATTTTAAACGAGCCGAACCAGATCAGCTGCTGGACTTGATGTTGAACCAGGAAGCAACAGCTTCTGTGATGCTACTAATGATGTCTCAGAAGGAAAACGGTGCATCTGCAGAACAACTGAGTCTCCACTGACAGATGGAAGCCCGTTGTTGGACATTACATATAATCCAAGTGGTCATAGTTTTTATATCAGCTTTAACCATGTTGTTGTGACATTTGAACCAGTCTCCATCAGAACTCACCATGCATGAATCTTGTGGGTTGGGTTGAGTGAAAAGTCTCTCGAGCTCGTTGCTGTCGACCACTTTCTTCCCCGCCGCGCTGCCATTGACCTCCATCTCTCTCCTGGCAGCGCCGTTGAGCCCCGAGGCCCCCTGGGAAGAGGAAGAGGATTCCAGCACGGCGCTGTGTCCTGCCTGGGGGGTGGCCTGAACCGTCTTACACATCATTAACCTGGAGATTACACCAACACACACACATGAAACGTGTGGCGGCGGAGGGACAGACATTAAGGCAAATTGCTTCCACCGGCTCTGACCTGCCGCGGTAGCTGAAGACCAGGAAGAGCACGCAGAAGACGATGCAGGTGACGCCGATGTGGATGCCGATGATGATGCCTGTCGTGGACGTTTTGCTCTGTTCGTCCTTCACACAGTCACATGAGCCGTCCAGCACTGAGGAGATACAGGAGGGACAACCTGACGTGAGCAAAGTGGGAGGAACTACATGATCATGCACTCAGGTGACGTGCACTGCAAAAAAATAAATAAATAAAAATAAAAAAAATAATAATAAGATATATATTTTTTTGGGGGGTTTTTTTTAATATTTTTTTTTCTATAACTGTATTTTTGGAAAAATGTACAGGTATATGACAGATTTTTCCTGTTTTGTTAAATTACAGGTAATATCTTGTGAAAATCACAGAAGAAAGAACTCATTTACATGCTGACTGTAAAAAAACAAACAAAACAAAACAAAAATCGGGTCAAAGCCGACAAAGTAGAGGGTGAATAATGTCCAGATTAAATGTCTGTATTTTTATAAATAATATATTTTTCTTTACACTCTCAAAGCACACAGTTCATAATGTGTTAAATCAACTTATTAAAACAAACTATTTTACACATATTTGCTGTTATTTGAAAGAAGAAATATGTTTAAAAGGGATTGAAAATGAGTTAAAGCGGTTTGAACTATTGTAGAGATGTTCTGTTTGTTTAATTACAGATAATATCGAGTAAAATAAAATCTATATTTGAAACGCTTTTTAAATGGATTCAAAATGTCATTATTATTATTGCTATTATTGTTATTATAATTACAGTATTACACTTTTCTGTTTGTTTGTTTGTTTGCTGGTGTGTTTTCTTAGATCCTCTCTGTGTTTTTTTCAGTGTGGGTCTGTAGCTGTGAGAAACAATCACCAGATTTCTCCACCGCCTCCCGCAGTGAAACAAATCGCATGGTGGCGTTTCCATCTCCGTGTTGGTTGTATGCGAGCAGCTTTATCTCATAGACCAGCGAGGAATCTGCAGAGAGGAACAGACACAAAGAAATTCAATTTGGAAGCTGGTCTTAGCTTATTTTTATTTTGACCCTGTGCCAGCGCTGCTATCTCGCTGCTATTAAAAAGAAGAGTCATTTTTCTTGCTGCTCGTACAGGATGCTCCATAAAACACTCTTTCTGGGGCAGGAATGCTTTTAGTCGATGATGAATCGTCAGGACAGGCCCAAGCAGGGACCCTGACATGCTTGACTATTAAAACAGTGATTACGTCGATAGAAAGCAGCCCGGACGCTTAATGAGAAAACACAAGTTAGCAGTGGGACGATCAGACTGCGCGCCTCACCCAGCTGACTGATGTTGTACTGGGTGACGTTGCGAGGGAACGTAATGGGACCGGTGAACATGGGAGAGTGCGCCCGTCTGTAGAACAGTCTGAAGCCCTGATGCTGGCCCATCTTGGATGAAGACTCCCACGTGGCCAGAACAACGCTGCTGTTCAGCACCTTAGTGAAGAGGGAGGGAGGAGCTGGAACTGCAACACAACACAGGAAGTCAGCCACAGCATTCAGGAATCAGAAGGAATGTCACTGTGATGGTGATTAAAGTTCTGATCAGGTCAGCAGAAGCAACCGGACCAAACACCAGAACAGAGGACTGCAGTGGTAATGCAGGGGTTGGTGGTTTATGCAGCTTCCTCCACTTTTCAGCTGAACATGTATTTCCAGTCACACAAAGCGCTGAAACCTTTTGCATATCACACGTGTGCTCTGAGCGTGTTCTGCTCACCTTCCCCATGCGTGCTCTCAGTGGCGCTGTCCGACGGCTTGCTGGCCCCGTGGGACGTGTAGGCCTTCACGTAGAAGGTGTAGCTGGTGGAGGGCTCCAGGTCCCGGATGATCTGCTGCAGCGTCACCTTACTGACGGCCTCCTCATACTCCATCTCCGCTGGGTCTGCAGAGGAGAACGATGGAAGGTGAACGGCAGGAGAACCAGTGAGAGGAGGTTCGAAAAGAATCGGAAACAAGAAAGGCATGAATTAGAAAACCTGGACGGAGGGGCTTTGAAATAACTCATGTGGAGAGAGAAAACAATAAATACAGTCTGTTTCTGTCGTCATTCCCGGTTATTACCCATCGCAGTGATTAGATCAGCGAGTTAATAGCTCATCTGGTTTGGCCCTGGGAGCCTGAACACAGCGGCGGGGTGAAGTGCAGGGGCGGAGTCAGGAGACGAAGGGGGCAAACGGGGGAGTTCTACAGGAAGTGTTAAAGCATTTTATTGCTTTTAATTCAGAGACACCCAGCCATAACCGCTATCTACCTCCAGCCCTCGATCCATTGGGCCATTCCATCTAGGAAGGGTAATTACAGCAGATCCTATTGGTTGGCCCCCAGGGCCTTTAATTATCCCTCCAATAGAACGACTGAGGAGAACATCAGCTGGCGCTACGAGACTCTCACCACACACACAATCACACACGTACACTTGCCCAAAGCTGTAAACAAAGTGACTGCGTGTGCGTCAACAAGCGTGAACACACGCAGAGCAGCATGGTGACGGTCCGCACATATGGGACCCAGAAATCAGAAACGTCGGCGTTTTTATTGTACGCCTCCGTGGGGCGGCGTGTAGGGGCTGCTAGTGGGACGCAACACGCTGCTAATGGCTTATAGGGAGGGACGCGCTTCCACTTCCTGTTGATATAAAGCTGCTGTTCCTGTTCAGTGTAAATGCATTAATGTAAGAAGTTTAGTGCAAAGCCTGAATCTAAACGTAATGAACAAGAAGACAAACACTGGTGAGATGGATCTGTGTGGAAGCAGTGCTTGTATCTGCCTTTGGTAAAACAGAACAAACACACACACACACACACACACACACACACACCCTGTGGGTCAGTGGCAGCGATGTGGGCCAGCGTCACATTAAATCCAGGAGTTTTCAGGCTGCTGCTGTGGGTGACGTCTAAACAACGGCGACACTTCGGCCCAAAGCTCCACTCTGTGAGTAATATTCATATACGTCCCCAAACCTCCCGAAATAGCGCAGCTGATAAATAAATACAAGGTCAGACTGGGTCTGAGGCTTTCTGGAGGCCCCCCCCCCAGCGCTAATGGAACAGTCCAACCACAAGGACAGAAACAGGAAGTGGAAAATCTGAATATTGAGTCATTTTCTATTTTTGCTTGAAAATCAAATTCTGAAGACGAGAAACAAAGACAACTGAAACGGAGAGAGGAGCATCCGACAATGGATGAGGAAAGTTTTTAGACCTGTTTGATTCAGTTTGATGGTTTAATCCACATCAGGTGTTCTCTCAGTCTGCTGTACGTCACATAGAATAGAACAGAATGCTTTTTATTGTCATCATACACAAGGTACAGCGAAATTAAAACACGTACTCAGGTGTAATCTACCACGAGCATGTTCTCCGGTGCCTCCGCTGCTCGCTGCTGTTGTAAATACTCACAGTTTTATATCCATTCTATACATATTGTCATTTATTTATGATATAACCTATGGGCTCTACAGACGTCTTGTTTTCATCGTGCACAGTTTGCTAGTCTACAGTTGTTCTTTGCACTGAATGGGATCACACCCATATAACGACATTAAAGGATTCTGATTCTGATGCAGACTGAACAAAGAAGTGCAGAACCTGACACGGTGCGCTACGTGAACATCAATGATCATCAACGCTGCAGGATGCAAACACGGTCACATGATTCAGATTTAACACCTGCCCATAAACATTCAGGTGCAGCTAAATATCCATCCATCCATCATCTATACACCACTTTGTCCTCATTAGGGTCGGAGGGGGGCGGAGCCTATCCCAGCTGACTCAGGGTGAAGGCAGGTTCACCTGGACAGGTAACCAGTCTATCGCAGGGCGCAGCCAAATATGTGAACATATTTTAGATTTTTTTAATAACTGGGCATCAAACAGGACTGAACAGACACTGAGGTTTCATTTGCTATCATCATCTATAACTGATTCAAGACGTTTACTTCACTGTAACGTGTTGTGATGCAAAGCGCTGCATGTCACCCCGTGTACCTGTGGTCCTGCGGATGTGGAGCACATAACCGATGATGTCCTGAGTGTTCTGATCGGGCTCCTTCCAGGACACCTGGATGGTGGTGGGCGAGAGGGCGTCGGCCTGCACGTGAGTGGGCACGCCGGGCAGTCCGTCGGCCCAGAGCACGGTGAGGCGGGCGCTGGCCTGCGTGGAGCCGGCGCTGTTCTCGGCGATGCACTGGTAGATGGCCTCGTCGTCCTCGTCGATGCCGTATATCGTCAGTGTGCTGTGAGAGACAGAAGGGAATGGGGAGGTTTAGGGTTTCTCTGTGTTGTTATTAACGTTGTTCCTCATTTAAACGGCCTCCGTGAGTAAACCTGCATCGTGTGTCTGAGCAGAAGAAAATGACCTCTTATGTGTCTGAGGAGTTATTTCAGTGTGCAACTATAAAGCAGCACAACAACAGCACAAGGATTTTAATAAGTGCAACTTCAGCCGTGCTGTAGCTGAGTGAGAGCGGCCGTGGCTTCTGAAGGTTATATAACCCCACCGGGAGACGTGTGTGCAAACTTTCAAGCGAGTCAGAATCACGAGCGCTGAGGTATGACCATTTAAATCTATCATGTTGATGTAGTGCCAGCCAAGGCAGAAATGTCATCTAACCTTGCGGGATCACTCACGGTTGACATGTGTGTTAAAGAGTTATAGCAGTTTATGTCAAATGGGCCACGAGCACCAGAATCTGTCACAGAATCGAGGGTAAAGACAAACTGTTCTGAGCGTTTTTATCCTCTGATGTTGTTAGACACCCATTTTGCAGATTGGATGAAATGGTTAAAAAAAAAAGCTGTAACATGCAAAGCAATAGAAATCTGCAGGTAGACGTGGTCTGGATATTAAAAGAAGGTAAAAACTCTGTCAGGAGCCTCTGTGTGCTTGATGACACCAAAAGCCTCTCCATGTAAATACACCATGTGCTGCTGGTCAAGAATCTGATTTTATTATCAAGGTGTGCAAAGTAATTTACGATTTCAGCCTTCAGACGTAAAAAAGTGCAGTTTTTTCATTTTCTACTCAAAGTAGAAAATCTCAGTGAGTAAAGCAGCCATGCTTGAATAAATGCACTTAATGCAGACGGTCCACGGCTCCGATAAGGACTGTATGCAGCACAAAAGATGAATGTGACATGTCAAGGTGCCGTATTCAGCTGTGTGAGAGCAAAGAGATTTGTGGAGCGCATCACACACGACAGACAGCGGCGGCGCACAGAAGAGCCTCGCTCATGCAAAGCACATACTTCCAGACTGATTCGTCTTCTGCTGCGAGTCCCGCGGGACTCGATAAGTCTGGAGCAGTGTTTCAAAAATGTAATTTGCCTACATCAGTGAAACCTTTCATCTGTCCATGTGCACACATGAACTCACAAACCTCTGGACACGCACACACACACACACACACACACACACACACACACACACACACTCCTCTCTGCTCTTTGTCCTCATCTTCTTTCTCTTCTCTCCCACCTGTCCTGTACTGTTATAGAAAAAATATACCATTGTGTGTGTGTGTGTGTGTGTGCATGTTGAGTAGGTGTTTTTAGACTAGAATACATACTCCACTCCACACAGTTTGCCTGTCTTCAGGCAAAAAGGGAAAATAAACCATGAACATCCGATGGAGGCCGGGCGCCTGCGGTGTCAAACATTTCTTCTTCCATTATTATGCCAAGGCCATTCTGCTGTATTTACAGCGTAATACACGCTGCAGCAAGCCGGCAGCACACAAATAACACACACCCTGGGAATACATGAAAACAAAACAAGAAACAAACGGCTTGAGTTATAACTTGTCCACCTGAAGATGGTGCACCCCTCGGTCAGGACATTTCAGGAGATCAGAGACATCAGGAACACCACGTCGCTCCTGGTCCTCGCGCTGCGTTCAAATCAGACAGCTGAATGCCACAGGAGTTCATCTGTCCTGCAGCATGCAGCTAATCTGTCACCTGCAGTTTGTAGGAACCCGCTGAGCAGGATGTCTCCTTCATGTGATGGACAGGAAGCGTCCAGAGTGTATTAAATCAGAATTTATTAAGAACCGCCGTCGCAATCCACCGAGGAATCGTAAGCAATTTATCGAAAGCCGAGCACGTCGGCCTGTACACGGGCCGTCACTGGACACCTTCTGGACCTGTGAAATGGGACATGAGGAAAGTGGCATTTCAGCTGTCAACAGCGCTGACCTCCTACCAGCCTCGGCCCGGTTCGTGAGGACGGGAGGGGGGGAGCTCTTCTGGGTCGGCAGGTAGGACCCAGAATTGAATCATTCTATTTCCTTTTTCAAAATTGATGTGCTGGGATGCACTTACTGTACGCCTCTCATCTGGGTCAGAACAGGCTGCGAGGTGGAAGAGTCATTATTCCCAGCAGCCGGCCAGGTGGATTCAATCTGGATAATTATCGGGTCAAAGAGGCCCTCTGTATTTCACCCTTTCCGAGCCAATCTCACCTCTGACCCCTGAGGTGGCAGCAGTCACCAGCCCTCAGCTCGCTACTCAACCATCACATTTCTGACAGCCTTTCATATCAGCGATGGATGGAGTGTTTGCAGACAGGCGGCCTGACCAGACGCCACAGACAGCAGCAAAGAGGCCCCCAGGGACGCACTCCTCAATGCCACCGGGGCTGGACGGGCCCCAGAGCGTGTGAAGGGAAGGCAGGGAAATTTCACAAGACGTTGCTTGTTTGAGTCGGTGCGGTACAAGAACTCGAACACGCACACGCTGCGTATGTGTCACATACACGTGACCCGATCGCGCAGACGTGTTACGTATGAAATTCCTCACCTGCTGCCAAAACATCCGTTAGAACCTCCAGGACAAAAGGTGGTTTTAGAGCATCCAAGCACATGAAAGGGCAGAAGACAGGAAGTGCTTCTAAAACGCTCCCTAATGAGCTGATATTCACGAGTCGGGTTTGTTTTGTGTATTTGTAATAACTGCAGTAAGTTTCGCTCCGATGTCGGCCGCGGCTTCATTTAACGTCCACAACATTCTGCACTTTAACCAATTATCTGTGACGGAGCTTTCTCGGGGCGGGTCGGTCATTTGGCAGATGAGGATCTTCTTTGAAGTAGGTGTTGCTGTTTTCCACTTTGCCGCTGCAGCTGGAAATGTGAACCACATTCCTGCTTGTACCAGGATATTACTCAGGAAGTACCTGACAGCCGCCGGACGTTTGAATCACCACGAGGAGCACAAACACAAACTCATTCAGGAAAGTCATTTGGCTTTTCATGCAAAACTAGTTCTTAATTTAAAAAACAAAAGTTGTCTGTGAAGCTGATGAAGCCCTTCATCTGGACGGCGTTCTGAAGGTCAGGGAGGTGCTTCAAAGACAAACATCTAATGTGCACAAATTTCAGTGAAAAAGAAAAAAACTAAACCGCATGTTTTTTCTCTTCTAAAAGCCTTTTTCAGCCAGATTGGGTTCCGACTGCATTGATATGCAGCAGCAGGCTGAGGACCTGCACAATGTGTGGAGGAAACAAAAACAGAGTCTGAGTGACGGAGAAGCCGAGCTGTGGTCGGTGCACGGCCTGGAGTCGGACTATTTTCTTGTCTTACACGAGCTCCAAATCCGAGCTCTCCTGTCCTGACAGGCTGACACCATCATTTACTCATCAGTTCAAGGTCATTTCACAGATTGACGGATAAGGCCGAGAGCCAGGGGACGGCTGACAGTGGGGCTCCGGGCCTGTTGTTCAGCTGCTCGGCCTGTGTTTACTCTCCGTTGTCTCCGAGCAGCACCCCATCAAAAGCCAGCATGGCCATTCTGGATCCAGTGAGAGGGAGAAGGAAAAAAAACACAGGGACAAAGAGAGAACAGGAGGAAGAGGTGGGGAAGGGGGTAGGGGAGGAGCGATGAGCTGTCTGTGGCCTGAGAGGAGGGAAGGGCTCTGGGATATGACTGATTACAGGCAGGGTCAGGGTTCAAGGCCGATGCCCAGGCCCCAGCGCTCTGTAATGGGGGCAGGAAGGGGGGATGTGGGGCACCGAGAGGGGCCGCAAACAAGAAAGGCAGGTCTCAGTGAAAGAAAGTGGAGAAAAAAAGAAAAGTGCAGAAAAGAAAAAAAGTCCTTTGAAAGGATTCTGCTCCAAACTGCCCAGGTCTGTGCGGCAGCCTGGTCCTTCACATGTCGGCCATTAATTACGACACACACCACGGCGGCGGCGGCGCTGCTCACACACACACTGGAAACACACCATTTCATTTACTATATAACTTTAATTCTATGCACACACGTGTAAAAGGATCCGAAGCTGATCTAAATGAGTTCAACTGAGCGAATACCGCCGGACAGAGTTTGATTTTCGTCGTCGCTGTTGAAGGAGTCGCTTCGAGGAGACAACCAGTAAAGAAACCCAAAACCAGCATCCATCAGGATGACGTGACAGAACGTTTAAAGTCCGGTGACTCATCCGTCTACCAAATGATCTGCTTTCTAATTACCTGAGTAGCAGCCAAGGGACATTATTTAACATTCGCTATGCAAACAGACAAGAATAATTCGCAGTTTATTTTCATTGTGAACCTGAAAGCGGCCGGCGGGCCAGCTGGCACCTCGCCGAGGCCCTGATTTGGGCCGCTTGCCATGAGTTGAGCAACACCCAGCTACGGGATCACTTTAAAAACAATACAGATTGGCTTTCAACCTCACGATTATTGGACTGTCTGATGTGATATCACAGCTCCGATACGTCGGCTGATCACACATGTCAGCTGAGAGACTGGAGGACGGGCCGAGCTCGTCTGCATAATTAGCAGCTCACGGAGGCAGCAGCATGTTGTACAGCAGCCCGGTCACACAGGCTCATCATGAATGGACCAACAACAACGCTGCTACAGTGTGTGTGCAGGTGTGTGTAGCAGGATCTGTGGCAGAAAGAGGACACACACACACACACACACACACACACACACAGTGCTTGGCTCTTAGCAGTAATGCCCGTTTACAGAAGCAGCCAATCAGCTCCTGCCTGACATCACCGCATCTCGCGCAGCGTTTGGCGTTGCTACGTCTTCTCCGCTCGCTGTGTAAAGTGTGCGGGGAGTAAAGGGCGACGCGCTGGTGAATTTTCATGTTTGATTATGCGTGTGCACAAAATGAGTGATGGCGTGCACCGCGGGGCTATTTGTGCACATACAGACTCACTTGCTTTTTGATTAATGTGTGTGCATGCGTGTGTGTGAATGAAATGTACAATCGATTCCCCTTCCCTTCCTTGTCCGATCTGCTCTTGAAGGTCAGCTTCATGAGAGATGGCTAAGAGGAGAAGCCGCTCTGCACAAACACACACATCCATAGCAACAAACACACACGAGGTGAAGTCTGTATGGTTCAGCGTACGTCTCCTATCACACAGAATATGAATCTATCTGTAAGAACAGAATAGCTGTGATGCTCGGAGCTGCTGAATTCATTTGCATATCATTAGTTCTGTTTTGGCCCGGTTCAGGTGGTAAATTGTGCCCTAGAATTTTCCGGACATTCGCTAAACGCATCACGTGGCTTTTTGGGGCTTCACTGTCTGATTTCACTGTGAATTTTGGGACTAATGTAATTTCCTACATGACTGAAACGTGCAGGAGGGAGTCTGCTCGGTGGGAGAGCAACATGTGGCTCAATGCATGTAAATGAGATGCAAGCAAAGGAAAGGACAACTGGACCGAAGCACCGCGTATGTAAACACACTGGAATTAGTTAGAAATCAAGCTTCATTAGATTTTGATCATATAGCTGCAGAATGAGCTTTTTTTTGTGTTGTATGAATCTGACAGCAGCTCACAGGCTAAATGCTGGCGCTGGATGAACCCACAAACTGTTCACGACTAACTCATGTCTGCAGTGAGACATCCGATCAGCGAACTAAAGCTTGATTAGTTCTGCAATTACGCCACGAAAAACCGTCAGCTACACTCAGCTAGGCTTTGGTTAGGCGTTGGTCAGAGTGTCCACAGCTTTAAGTCCTTATGAACTGTTTGAACCCCATCCAGGACTTTCTATGAAGGTGTTTCTGGGTCCAAGAAAGAATCTGTGCAGAACCTGTGTTGGTGTTCAATATAGACTTTATGTTAAATACATGTTCTGATCAGTTATTTTAGGTTCCAAATACACGACACATGTCCCTCTGTTTATATTTAAAATAAAAAACCAACACCTGTCACCTGAACCACATGACCTGGGCTCCAAAACACCCCAACGGTCCTGAACAGGGTTAATATTTAAGTCCAGCTTTTTCCTAACTTTAACCACCAGTCTATACCAAACAACACCAGGACATGAATCCTGGTCTCTAGTGATGGATGACGATGTTGCCCTCCCCACCAGCCCCCACCAGCCACGCTGGCTCTGATTGGACCTGTCCGTTAATCAATTCGGTAACGAGAGAAAACCTAAAAAATGTCCAAAAACGTCACAATTCATTCTTTTTTCTTAAGCAAGACCTCCAGCATGACCCTGGTACCGGCTGTACAATGAGTCTCACTGCAGTTACACTGTAATAAACCCACTTGTTTTTAATTATATTTGCTTTAAAGCCCATTTGTTCAACATGTTCTGCAGGAGACATTATTAACCGTGTGGACAGGTTTGCTTTTCACATTCAGGTAATCAGTGATATTACGCCTCCGACCAGGTAATTGATGGCTGCGTAACGTGTTTCAGTGCAGATCCTGAAGACGCACATCGAGCCGCTCTGCTCTCTAAATGGCTGACTGCGTTTCCTGGTCAACTAGCTGAGTTTATGAGCTAATTAGCTAATGGTAGATCTCAAGCTGAGGCCTGCCTCCTTAGCCAATCACAGCGCCGGGTTCGTGATGCATGGGATTCATATTATAGCAGGTCACACAGTAATAGTGGCAAGTGGAAACGCTGCGATGCTCCGACCACCCGCTCCATCTTCCTCCAGCTCTCCTCATTTATCCCTCTTGCCGACTCATCACTTCTCTTTTGACCACCCGCTCATTTCTCCCCTTTTTAATTCTACATCCAAGTGTGGCCTCTCATTTATTTCCTCCCTCTCTGGGCTCCTCCTTTGTTAGTCCCTCGTTCCATCTCTCTGACTAATATAGACCGGTGGAGACAAGTGGGAGTGGAGCAGCGCATGTGAGCGATGGAGGTGTCTGCTCCCTTCACTCACCCCAATGGAGTGCAAGTATTGATTTTATTTTGTACATGTTTAATATATTCACTTCATATTTCTTTTTTTATGAATAATAATAACGTACAGCGATGATTGGCTGCCGGGGTCAGCTTGGAAAATTGAACCTTGTGCAGCAATCTGTGACAGTTTACTCAAAACACACATCAGCTGGATGCAGAAAAACAGTTTGAATCCTCATCCAGCTGTGACGTGTCCATCGACAGGTACGCCTCGAGGAGGACTCTGAAACCGCGAGACTGTTATCAGCATTATTCTGTAAAACTCTGGGGATACTAGTACACGTTAACCATCAGTTTGTCCATGAAAGAGAGGAAAACGCCTCGGTCCTAAATAATAACAGGAGAGGAAGAGAAGCACGTCTGAAACGTGATTAATGTGTATTCATATGTATGTATATGTACAGTCTCCTCAGATTTATTCATCTCCTTCCATTAAAGAAAAGACAAAATCCACAACATTCACTCAAATAAGTAGAAAATGAAAAAAGTAATAATAAATAAAAATGTGCTAAATTATGATTTAGTGAAATCAGACGTTGCTTTGAAAAGAATAATTTAAAAAAACAACCAAACTGTGGTGGACCAATGAGAGGCCTTTGCTGATGAGCAGTGGACCAATGAGAGGCCTTTGCTGATGAGCAGTGGACCAATGAGAGGCCTTTGCTGATGAGCAGTGGTCCAGAACACCTGTCAACAGGTGCAGAAGTCTGCCTGAGAGTTACAGAAACACCTGATGGCAGTGATTGGCTCAGAGGGTTGTTCAGCTACATGTTAGTTCACGGGTCCATCAGGCTGCTTTGATAGTTTTTTCAAACATTTCTGAAATTCAGGAGCAACGTCATGATGCTCATGAAGTTTTTATTTATTATTACTTTCATCTTGTTTCAGCTGTTTGTTTCCTTCTTTACCGGGAGGCTATGAATACATCTGAGGACGACTGTTTATTACCTTCCAGGATATTTCTGAGCTGTAACCCAGCGGGTCGTCTAACACGTGGCCCGTACAGTGAGCGGTACTGAGGCTGGCATCTAAACCGAGCTGCTGCTGCTTCCTCCTCCTCCTGCTCGTGACATTCCTGAGGACTGGTGGGAAAGCGTCCAGCATCCAGTCAGTACGCTGCTCACATACAAAAGGCACAAATAAACCGAGGCTCATGTCTTGGCAGCCGTGAGTTCCAGCAGCTGCAGCGTCAGAAGCAGCAGAAACGCAGAGAAATTGAGCATCTGATGATGCCAACGGTCAGATCAAGGCAGCGCTGATTAATACTGACACCCATAGTGCTCGTGCTGGCCGGGTCCAGCCTTGTGAGGACGCTCTGATGGTTGGACAGAGATCTGTGTGGAAGGCAGCTGGCGCTCCACATAACGGCTCTCAGATCATTTCAGATTAAAATGTGGTATTAAATCACAGCACCAGTGTAGATCCGTTAGTGAGAGCAGCTGTCCAGTCAGCAGGTTGTTGTTTCTGTGAGGTAGTAACTTATAAACGGCAGTAATTCATTAGTACTCGTGGCTTTCACACCTTCTGACACCAAAGGAACTCTTCACACGTCTGTTTCAGGTGCGTAGGAGAGAGATCCCAAAGCTACGATCAGACCCGGTGCACCGTCCAGCTCGTGAAGACACTTTTATTGGCGCCCGGTCTCGGAGCTGGACCTTCATCAGGCAGAGAGTTATTAACGAGTTCCTGTTTGCCTGATGAAGGTCTAACATGGAGACGTGTGAGGAATGAGATCCCTGTGCAGGAGTCTGAATCTTTCTATGAGCTGTTAGCACGTCAGCAAGCTTCTACCAGACTCTCTGTGGGTTCTACCAGCAGAACAGCGGTTCTAGTGGTGTTTATATGGAAGGAAATGGACCTGACATGTTTGTTTTTAGGGCTCAAGGATACAGAGGAACAGAGCTGTTTTTAGTCAGCAGGACACCTTCACAGCACCACACTGGTTCCTACAGACGATATCTCTGAATGAAGATCTACTGCAGACCTTCTGCTCCACCAGCAGTCTGTGGCTCGTCTCGGGCGTATGAATAAATTTACACATGAATACAAGTTGTTGTTGTTGTTTTTCTTCACCTGTTGTTGTTCCTGAGCTTGACGTGTCCTCCAGGCTCCAGGATCTGGCCGTTCTTCAGCCAGGTGAGCTGCGGCTCGGGCTCGCCCTGCGCCTGGCAGGTGAAGATGGCGGTGGTGCCGACAGGCCGGGCGATGGACTGCGGAGGTTGAACAAACTCCGCCGGAGCTGGAAGAGGAGGGAAACGGAGAATCAGATAAGGTGACTTCATTCGCACTTCCAGGTAATAATCCTGGACACATCAGCGGCAGACAGACAGAGAAGGTTGTTCACAGGATCCAGAGGCACAGAAAGGAAAAAGGCAAGAGAGCGAGAATGAGGGGAGGAAGAAGATGAGGGCCCAGGGTAGAGGTGTATGGCATAAATACTGCTGTAAATCTATAGCTCAGGGTCAATTAGCAGAGTTATGAGACACAGCAGATCGATGCAGATGCAGGGAAACAGAACAGGAGAACGTGGAAGAAGAAAAGCAAGACAGTGTGAGATTTGGTCAAGAACAGCATCGTGCTCTAAACCAGCAGCACATCCACATGAACACACAGAGATGGAGAACTTCCACGTATGCAGCATCCTAAACGCTTCCAGCCACGTCCAGAGACGTTCCTCTGAACTCTACCTCAAACCAACCACAGATTAACGGTACACCTGCTGGACGGGTGTGATTTGATATCCTGATGCTCATAATAACTCAGAGCTGTCATGAGAGGGTGGCAGACCTGAACACTGGACTTCATAGTAGTGAAAACCCTCCACCGTCCTGCCGTCCTGCCGTCCTTCTGTCCCAGCTGCTGTCCAGAGTCAAACCAAAACATTCGCTTCAACGCAAACGTTGTTCAGTCAGAGAGACTGGATCAGTCATCCTGCTGATGGGGCTGTTTCTCTTTCAGCATCTCCACCGTGTAGCTTCAGAACCACATTAAACAGAGCACAGCGCCTGTAAAGACGCCTGGCGACCGGCGGAGGTTTGATCTCTGTGTCGACGGTTTGTACGACTCGGTTCTGTGGTTTGTCAGACGGCGTCGTGCTGAACATGCTGAAGTCTGGAAACAGCAGAACGAAGTCTGGCCACACGTAGAAGAACCTGAGAGTAGAAACCAGGGAGCTCAGCGCAGCTAGTCTGCTTTCAACAGTTTATATTCAGCATCAGGTTGATCAGACTCTGGGTGGCATCGTGCTCTCAGCTCTGACGCTGCCTCCGTCTTTACCATCATATATGTACCATTCCACCGTCGATCTCACAGCTGCCAGCCTTCTTCCAGGTTTTAAGGGGCCATTAGTCCGTCTCTCACTAGTATCTGACTTCCCTACCTGTGGAGAAGCTTGAAGCACTCAGCTTCAGATCCATTTGTTCCCACTGAGGACTTACATCTGAAAGGTCACAGCTGTGCTTTAAAGACAAAGTCATTTCAGCTTCTCGTAAAGCCTTTTCTCTCAAACGGGACTAACATGTGAATCTGCTCTGACTGATTTCAGTTGTGGATTAATAAAGATCTGGTGCTTCAGTTTGTGTTTATAGCTGCAGTGTCCATGTTCACGGTGATGAAGAAGCATGTTAGCGACAATAATCCTGGACGACGACGGAGCTGTGAGCAGACGATGGTCGTATCAGCAGCAGGCTGCACAGAAAACACACCTCAGGACTGATGTATTGTTGGCTTTGCTCTTTTAAGGCGATCTGTGGACAGTAACAGCACGCTCACCCTGAAAGAACCATAAACAATAAAACATGTAGAGATTCATGCTGATGTTTTGTTTGTTGTTTTTCTGATTCTGTGCTTTGTGTCCAGTTTAATTCCTGCTTCTGTTTGTTCTGTGCTCCCACCCTATCGGACAAAATGTTGTCTGACACTTTTTCAATGTAAGCATTTCCATCCTCCCATCGGAGAAGCTAAGGGGCCCTTAGGCGCCTGAATGGAGGCAGCTGACAGCGTGAGATGGTCTTTTCATTTATCTCTCTCTTTCCCAGCTTCATTGTCACTGGCTGTGTTGTTTGAGGGCTGACTTAAAGGTGAAGGTCAGAGGGAGCTCGGGAAGATATTGATTTGCACCTGTAAGGGTGTGGGTTAGATCATCAGCGCCACCCATCCATCTTGCTCTTGTTTTCCCCTTTTGGCTCATCCAGTTCTGCTCCTTCTGCTTCAGCCTTTGTTCCTCTGCTCTGTCGTTTTACCCTGAAGGAGCCTAAATTAACCTAAATTATTTGCTGTAAAGGTGCATTTGTTGATCAGTGCTGCTGAATCCCTGACCGACCCGATGCTCCTACTCTGAACTGACAGCCCTTCAAACCGTCTCGTATTCACAGATTTGTCAAGTGGCTGATTTCATTGGACTAATTCCTCGAGGACAGGCAGGAAAACATTTTGTTCGCTGTAATAAAACAGCCAAACACACGTATGGAGCCGGAGTTTACGGCACACCTTTGTTTCCACAAATCAATAACAAAAACCAGAAGACATTGACACATAATTAACATCCACGGCTTTCGTCTTTGTCCCTGCCCGGGTCGGGCCTCGTCTCAGCCCTGACAGGCAGATGAAATGAAATATTGATTAGGATCAATACCGCTATGGGCTGAAGCAAAGTGTGGTCCATGTGATCGATGCGGGAGTGAGGCAGACGCTGGATGCTTCCTGCTCGGTGACAATTAATGCAGACGGCCACCCACACCTGGCCGCATCGCTTTGGTCCAATCACCACCCCTCTGAGCTAACATCAAACACCTCCACGGTTCTGGTTCTGGCTACCAGTCTGAGAAGAACGACTGAAGACTAATACGACAGAACAAAGCAGAACTGAAAAAAACCCAATTAAAAAGGCACTTTGAGAAGGTTAGAGCATAATGTAAGGTTCAGTAATCTATTGTTGACCTTTAAGTGATGGTCTGACATGAAACCGTCCAGAACTCCCACATAAAAGATTCACTGGACTTTGCTGAAGCCCCACACCGGGCCTGTTGCTCTCAGGAGCTGCTTTCTCTTGTTTAGAATGAAGCATGTCGACGGCGACGCTGCAGCTTTGTTACACAAACAGAAAGAAAACAGTGAAAGTTCAGCCTCACGAAGCCGTCGTCCTCTGATCTGATCCGTCATTTCTCCTGTTAGTTCACAGACGTTCCCTGTTCCTGATGACAACGAGTGCATTCAGAGAACAAATAGTTATTTGATAAACGTATTAAAGTCAAAGTTCTGTGTGATAGTGA